TGAATGCGATCAGATACTAAAACGTCATAGCTTTAAAAAAATCTTGGATGTTAAATATGTTCGTTCGTTATTTATTCTTCTCCATGAATGGCCTCCATGGTGTTTTATTGCAAGCACTTCAAATGCCTGTCCAAGCTACAGTTATAATTAAAACAAAATTAAACCACTGCAATATTATTTCAAATACAGTTTAGAAAATACACAACTATAATTATAGTTGTGTATATTCTAAACTGTATTTGAAATTAAATTAAGGCCGCATTTAGGTTCGCTTTAAATTAAACTACATGTAATTGTTATTTTCAACTAGGCTGCATCACCATGGATATGACAAGGCTAGAAGAAGTTTACAAGAAATGGGAACAGCGTAGTCTGTGTGGCTGGGGTGAAGTTTCAAAGTCTGCTGAACATGGAGACAACAAAGACAACAACAGATTGTCACAGTGGCACACATCTAATGCTAAAAATCGCAAAGTGAAGACCAGATCTCACTCATGGAATTTTACACTTGTAAGTGAAATATTTGTGTGCATGTTAGTGTTTGGTTGTTTTGATAAGTCTGTATTAGCACAAGACCACTAATAATATGAGATTATCCCAAGAATACTACAAAATATGCACAGCCAACATGTGGCACACATGGTGTTCTGCCCAGCCTGATTTGAGTGCAGGTCGCTAATTAATATTCATGAGTCATTAATATTCATGAGCTAATTAATATTCATTTTTCACATTCTACTAGCTACGATTTAACTACTTTAATTATTTTAACTTTTATTAGCTCCGCTGTCGACTTTGTCGAGCGGAGCTTATCATATGAGTGATTGTCCGTCGTCCGTGTTAATGTTTTACTTTTTCGACTTCTTCTTGAAAACTACAAGCCTGAATGCTTTAATACTTGGTGTATATGTACCTTGGGTAGACCTCTCTTAGGTTTGTTCATTTCATGTTGATATCTTCAATTCTCTAATTTTGGTGAATATTTTTGTCATTTTTGGTAAAAAG